CCACCAACCACCCAGGTGTGGTGAAAAAACAAGCAATGCTGTATCCATAGGTTCCCTTCCTCCAATCCACACACAGTCTCACCCAAACTGTCCATATCGGAGTTCCCTAAGAGCCACCTGAACCCTAGATCATGAATCCTGCCCTGCTCAGTCCCACAACGGCACCCACACCAGTACACCACCTTGGCGCCTCTTATCCGCCCAGGCCCCACCTGCACACATGGCCTGGGCACAGGCATATCTTACTTCCTACCTAGCCCCTTCATCCATGATACACACTCAGATCCCTTCTCCTGCAGTGGGCAGGAGAGGACAGCAGTAACGGGGAAGCACCCAAGCGCCCTCAGAAATACACTCAGGACCACCAATTATTAAGCCACACCAAACTACAGGGAAAGGACTGATTCTAACAGGCCAAGAGAAGCAGAAGAACATTTGGGCAGGAGAAGGAGCCAGTGCTTCACTGTGGCATTTACCCAGTGGCTCGCAAAGTACTTATTTCATCTCAATAGGTAACAACTCTGAGGAAAGATACGGGATGCCAACGACAAAGTAATGTTAAAAATAATGGCGTGTCAGTTCTTGCCTTACAGCTCTTCTGTGAAGCCAGAAGCTCACAGGCACCCTGTGGAGTGCCAGACTACAAGTGCATAGCATCATCAGAAGTAGGTGCAAGATCAGACACTGACACATTTAACTGGGACAAAATGGACCTTCAGGATCCCGGTCCCCAACAAGAATAGTCAGGAATGCATGATGCATGACCTCTCCAGCCTCCTCCACACTCTAGGTTACCAGGTTCTTTACTTCCACAGGTTTGTCCAGTGCACCCCATTAGGCAGGAGGTAGAGAGAAGATTGACATGTGAAAAGAGGGAAAGGGGGCTGAGGCTGAGTCCTGGAGATTCCAACACCCCTTGTCCTCTGACAAAGTGATGGACGTGTGCCGTCCAATATGGGACCACTGGCCCCGTGGGCCTACTGAGCATTTGAAATGTGTAAATTATTATGTTGAAATGACATGTTGGCTGACATAAAATGTATCATTTTTTTAAATGTCACATAAAGTCTGAAAACAACCCAAGAGTTTATGATCCATTCATATGCAGCTATAAGAAGGATGAGGGGCATTTTTTTTGAAAGACTATGAACTATCTATTGTTAAAGGAATAAAAGCAAGATACATAATAGTACAAGGTATGCCATGTAATATTAATACATGATCTGCACTTGCTTGTACAGGTGCAGACTCTCTCTGGAAGAATACAAAAGCTATTAATATTCACTGCTTCTGGGACAGGTTACTGGGTAGCAAAAGGCACAGGGTAGAAAGGCAACTTTTCACCATATACTCTCTTGTACTTTGTGAATTTTGAACCATGCAAATATATAACCTATTGAAAAAAGTTCATAAAAAATAAAAAAGCCGCTGCAAAACTAGGTATTTTTGCCAGTAGAAAATGAAATGCTTTTGTATAGCTCCCCATCCCCATCCTTCAAATCAGTAAGATTCATCACGCCCCAGAAAAGTATTTCTCTACACACCTAGCAACACAGCTCGGCAAGTTTGGGCAGTGCCTGTTATGTTAGGTGAAGAGGACCATCACAAGCAAAGGCTAAAGAGAAAACAAAATCACTCAGTGATACACTACCTGCACAAAAACAGTGCCTCTTGGAAGAGAGAATTGAGTATGTGTTTATCCAGCACGTAAACAGAATCGTGGTGCCTGTTGTACTTCAAAATTGGATCCTGAGGGGCTTACAGAGCGGGGGCTTGTGGAGAGCTCTTTGCTGAGCCCCTGCCCACACTGGGCTTCCTAGAGGCCAAGCCCCCCGCTGGTAACAGCAGCAGCATGCTGGGAACTGGGAGCAAGACCTTCACCCCTAGCCTGGAGGAAAGTCCAGCAGGGACC